ACACTCTTAACCCTGACTTTGCTGACATGGTGTAGTGGGTGACCGGGCAGTTAATGGTTGGACTATATTTTTTAAGGTCTTTCCCAACCTAAATGATTCTATGATTTTTATGGTTCTGTGTGATTTAAAGATGAGTGTTGTGCCACACAGGGGTTGACCGGTTTCCAAGGGGTGTGTTTAAATCCCTTGGGACGGGCAGTGTCTTGACAAACTGAACAGTGCATCATCCTGCACACAGAGGTGATGTCCCATGGCTGTGCTGCCGTTAATGGCTGTGCCTTCATCATTACCTTTTGGCCTTTCCTTGAGCTCCTTTCCAACCTGTTGTTCTGATTCTATGACTCTATTCTCACCACAGGAGAGACATGGACCTGTCGGAGCAGGTCCAGAGGAGGCCATAAAAATGATCCAAGGGATGGAAGCCCTCTGGTGTAAGGCCAGGCTGAGAGAGTTGGGGCTGTTCAGCCTGGAGAAGAGAAGGCTCCAGGGAGACCTTATTGCAGCCTTTCAGTACTTAAAGGGAACTGTGAGAAAGATGGGGACAGACTTTTTAGTAGGGCCTGTTATAACAGGACAAGGGGTGGTGGCTTTAAACCAAAATAGGGGAGATTTAGGCTAGAGAGAAGGAAGAAAAGTTTGATGATGAGGGTGGGGAGACCCTGGCCCAGGTTGCCCAGAGAGGTGGTCAAAGCCCCATCCCTGGAACCATTCCAGGTGAGGTTGGACGGGGCTTTGAGCACCTGGCTCTAATTGTAGATGTCCCTGCTCGCTAGATGACCTTTCTAGGTCCCTTCCAGCCAAAAGCATTCTGTGGCTGTGTCATTTCCCATAGGGCCAGGGATAACAAGGACACCATCACTTTTTGACATGAGTGTTGTTTGTAGTCACATCCCATCTAGGGCTGACAAAAACCTGTGCTGGTAACACAGTCCCTTCCCAGCTGTGTGCCCTGGACTCCCTTATACAGGCAGCAATCAAAAGACAAAGTGAATTCTTCATCCCTGGTAGGTAAAAATGCTGCAAATGTTCTTATTGCTCTAGTACGTTCACAGAACAATTTGGGTTGGAGGTGAGGTGCGAGTGTCACCTGGGGCCAACCCTGCTTGAAGCTGGACCCCTGATATCCTCCCACCCCTTATTCCAGGCTGCTCAGGGTGATGCTGGTGCTCAAAGAAGCACTAAAGTATAGTAACTGTGGCCATTTGTCTTTGCTTCCTGCAGAAAATCTGGATCCTGGTACTAATCTCTTACTGCTTATTGTCATAAACAGGACTAAACCCCCCAGTTTAATTGCTGACCAGCAGACCTCTCCCAAACCTGGCTTCAGCTGTGGAAGAAAGCCAGCGACACGCCATTCAAAAGTAATTATTTTTATTTCAACTCTATAAAGTATACAACAGGCACTCGGCAATTACAGCTGCAGGGAAAATACAGAGCAAAACAAAAGCGGTTAAAGGTTATGAAAAAAAAGTTCTTAAATCTACATCAAAAGAGTGCAACCGGCCGACGACCGGTGGATGACCGACATTTGTCCGACAAACAAAACCTCTTTCAGGTAAGACGAAAATGGGAGAAAATAAGAATATAAACCAAAGGGCAGGTGTAAAACCAGCCTAAATTTGGACTCGGGACGATAGGCAACTCTGAATGAAAAGTTCCCCTTTTGCCAGTAAAGCCCTAAAAGTGCCCAAGTCTCAGCGTTACGACTGGTTTACATGGCCGAGGAGCTGCGGAGGAGCTTCCAGCTTTCCAGCTCGGCCCCGCGGAGCGCCGAGGGCTCACCTCCGCCGTGGGCTGCAGGCAGAAGGAGTCAGGGGAAAATGCTGCTCTTTTTCTTTTCCCCCAGGGTGGGACATTTCTAAAAGGGTTTGTGTAAGACTGGAGGCTGGCGCTGGACGGCACGATGGGTTGGATCTGCACAGCTTAGCAAAACAGGAATACCTGTCTACGGACTGATAGGATGTCATATATTAATTTGACCCGCACGTAACATTTATACATTTCACAGAAATGACTCTGTATCTCATTAACAGATACACAGCTCTGGTACATTGAACAGAAATAAGAGAACGACTTCATCATTTCTGTAATTCATCAATATTATATAATAAAGGCTTAGAAATTGGTAGCAGAAAGAACTGTAAAACGCAGCAAGCTAAGAAAGGACGACATTTTGAGGTGTGTTTGTCTTTGTCATGCAGCATAACACCAAATTTGTAAATTTTTTTTTTTTTTTTAAATAGGATGCCATGGATTTAAGGCACTTGCAACAATGCCAGATAGCTAGTCATGTTCTAAAACTATGGGACAGATGAGTTAACAGTACAGTTGACGTAAAGTTTAATAATACTGACAATTATGACATTAATTCAAGTCTACCTTGATCTAAAAACATTACATTACAAATAAGAAAATGAAGTAATAATGCCATGGGACTCCAACAGAAAAAGATATATGTGTACCACAAAATATCAACACGAAAATACCTATTTACATAAATATTCGCTTTGTGGTCCTGTTGTTAAATAAGAGTTTGCTATGTGAGAAGCTACGGATCGTCTGTGTCTTAACACCACCAATCTTAATACACTCATTTTAAATACGGGAGCTGATTTCCCCTTAGGTAAATACGCCGTCGCCCCGTATGTTAAAAGAAGGAGACAAAGAAGGAAGGACAGTAAAGTGGAAACACAGAGGCAATCCATTGTGGTGAATATATATATATAATGCAACTCAAACATATTACTTATAAATGAAGGCGTTTATCATATACATATGCTAAGTATGTTGTTTATGCTTAGGAAAGGTGACAGAAGGCAAGGGAGGTGTCTGATATCAAAATAAACTTATATTCAGTACAGCACATGCCACACGCTGCAGGGATTAATTACTGCATTTGGCATGAGGAAAAAAGGGGTAGGAAGAAGGAAAAATAACTCACCAGCCCATTTTAAACCCTTCTTCCCATAACATTTTTTTTGGATTGTCTTCCAAAACTGTTGTGATACCCTTTCCTCCTGGCAGCCCCTTGACTGACAACTGCATCTCAGCTACTAAATACCATCATTTTGGGCAAACTCGTCTCTACATTCATCTGTACAAAGTTACCAACAGCAAGTTTTCTCCTCCAATGTTGCTGCATGGTTGAGTGAAAAAACACGGGCTTGTGAGCAAAGAATTCAGATTTTAGGCAGGAGCCTGTTTGCTGAGACGCCCAGTGATTATTTTAGCCCTAGTACTCAGCATTCAGCATCTTCCATCCCTCAGGTAAAGGCTGAAAAGCCAGCATGTATTTGCCCTACACAAGGAATTCCCGGGAGATGTAGCTACTGTTGTTTTCCCTATGGTTTTGAAGGCAAACAAGGTTTTGACGATGAATGAATAGTGGAAATAACCTGAAGTTACTGTGCCTACGGTGTTGCCTCACCCTTCAGAAAATTAAGACGGAAATTTAGTGACACAGACCAGTTTCAAAGGTGTGATGATGACTGAGCTCTTTAGTTTACTGATAAAAGAGTCAGTGCTGTCACAGAAGGGAAGAAAATCCCTTTTTAATATCCTCTGTTAAGTCACTCTCATTAGGAACATGGAAAAAAAGTCAGGATTTAGCATCAGGGAAATTCTTTTGCTGTTAAATCATAAATTTTCTGCATACTATTCAGGCAAAAATCATAGGAATGACTTTTCAGCAGAAGTAGATCTTTCAGCTTCAGTGTATACAACAGTGCCTGACAGCTCTTAGATGAAATGGGGCAGATTTGGGCTAATTTGGGGGTGGAGCATGGTCTGCTCTAGTGCCTGAAAGCTGATGTTTCTTGTTGGTAGGAAGGAATAAACTTTTAGTTCCATGTATATGCAAGAAACAGGTATCCAAGAGAGGATTCCTCTGCTATGTCAAATAAATCAGAGGAGTCTGCACTCAAGCAAAGGAGAAGCAGTGGAAGTAAGGGAAAAGCATACACATGATAATATTGTTTTCCTCATCTCTTTCTGTTTTCCATACAAGCCGACTCAGCTGCAGGCATCCCCATCCCTGGGGCCCTGCTGCACCGGAGACATGGGGACCTTGCACAGACACATCCCCTATCATTTTTTCATTCAATTCCACTGACTTCCCTGTGGAGCTCCTTAGTCTGGTGAGGCATCAGGATTCCATTTTTAAGTGCAATACTATAAACAGAGCCAGCAAGCTGGCCCAGTACCACCTTTTATTTTAATTAGCTCTGTACTGAACACAGAAGAGATGCAGACGTGGAGATGGGAAATCATCTAAGAGCATGATGGAGAATGATGCCTCTTGCTACATATTTCTGAAATGGTGGTTGACTGAATAGGTCTATTCACAGATGAAGGATGTACATAGCACCTATAAAGTACATTACACAGGTCTCATGTTTTCCCTTTGGGTTCTATAAAGGTAAAAGTTTGATCTTAATTTTATGCCTAATAGCTAATCAATAAGACCAGTGGGCTGCTGTCACTTTATTACAGGACCATTATTTAAGCACTATTTTATATGTGAAACGGATTAATTTTATGATTTTTTTTCCATGCAGTTATGTCCTCGTACCAAGGGAAAGGGAAAAAAAAAAAGCCCCAGACATATTGTTACAGTGTGTTCTCAGCTGTATGAGAGAAGCGACCCATATCTGCCTTTAACAGGATCTAGAACAGTTGTGCTTTTGTTTTACCAGGCTACAAAACCTCCAAATTCTCAAAAATAAAGAAAGGTAACATTCAGTCTTGCCATGAACACTGGTCAGAAAGAAAACGGACCAACTTTACCACTGCTTTGACATGAACTCTTTGTCCAGTACTGTTGCGGTCCTCCTTTGCTCCTACACTGGCCCAAAGCAGAAGACCTATGGAGTCTGGAGGGTGGGAGGAGCCCAGATCCTGCACTGTATTTAGCTACAGGACTTAATAAATTACTATTGATCCTACTGATAAAGCCAGTACCTTGCAGCTAGAATTAAGTGCGTCTTACACTACGTATCTCTCGACTTTTATAATTAAGAGCGTAGCAAGATCTTCGCAGTGATAGAAAACAGGTTTCTTTACTGGTGAAAGGCCTTGTGTCAGGACCACCATGTCAACTGCTATTTTAAGTTCGAACATAAAACATGAAGAGCGCTATTGTCATCTAAGCGATAAGTCCTAATGCCACTGTAGTTACTGTAGCAGCATCAATCAAGGCATCATGGTGACCCCGAGCACTAATCCTCCCCAGTTCTTTCGGTTTTGCTGGCAGCCATGTCCCAGGAAGCTGTCTTCAGCAAGGCAGAAGCAGGTAAGAGAAATACTTTAAAAATCTATGTCCCATCCTGAGTTGTCATCAGGGGGTGGTTCATCACTGTCCTCCGGGAAGCTGTCAAAGTTGCTTGTGTCTGTTGGAGATGCAACCTGCAGAAAGAAGAGAGTGACAAGAAAGGGATGGTTATCAAAGTGGACCTCTGCAGACATCTCCTCTCTGTCACACAACCGTTATGGTGCAAAAGCATTTGTTGCCAACTGCAGCAAGCAAGAAAAGTTCTGCATTCCACAACTTTTTGTCGAACCCCAGGAGTTACCCACAGCCCCCCCCCAACTCAAATGATCCAGGGCCTCTATAGGCCCTCTAGTTCAAGAGCAACTGCCCCACTCATTGGTACAAGGTCTGTAGAAAAGCCTTGGGCCTCCTCAAAGCCCAGGATTTCCAATTTATGACTCCAGGATCCTGAATTTGAAGTTGTCAGCTGGGCCTCTGCTGCCTTCAAGTTTCCTGACAAATATTGCTCAGTCTAGGAAGCCTACCAGAGAAACCCACCTTCCTAGGATGGAGACCAAGTACTTTAAAAAAAAAAAGAGGTAATTTAAAATCTACTGTAGCGAGATAACATCTATTTTTTTTTCAGTGATGGACAGTGTGTAAGTGGACTGCACTAGGTGAAAGCATCTAGGGAGCTCACCAGAGCCGTTCTGCAGATGTCCACTCTGGGAGCACCTAGCAAGGCAGGAACTATTTTTTGAGCTCTGGTTAGATGAGGCTTTAAGGGAAATAAGTCTTGCTTTGGGCAGTGGATTGCCATTTGTGTTTGTCTGACAAAATAAGAAGGCTGAGTGTATCTTACACCTCAAACATAGAGGGTGTTTTTTTTTCTTAGAAGAAATACAGTTTGGGGAAAAACGGTTGGATGAGTTGTTCTCTGCTGATTTATATGTGGTGCTCATGCTGTTATGTGTGATTCCCCATAACTCTGAGGTCCAGGTCACCTACATGGCTGCTGTCCTTCACAGTCAGAGACATGGGAGCAAATGCTTCTTCTCAGTGTCCTGTCCAACCAAGAAGGGACACTAGATTTACCTCCTGCCCATCCAAGACTCATAGAATCATTTAGGTTGGAAAAGACCTTTAAGATCAAGCTTAACCATTAAGCTAACACTGCCAAACTCATCACTAAACCAATATCACTCAGCACCACATCTCCATGGCTTTTAAATCTCTCCAGGGATGGGGACTCCACCACTGCCCTGGGCAGCCTCTTCCAGGCCTGGACAACCCTTTCAATGAAGAAATTTTTCCTAATGTCCAACCTAAATGTGCAACCCTGGTGCAACTTGAGGCTGTTTCCTCTTGTCTTGTCACTTGCTCCTTGGGAGAAGAGACCAAACCTCAACTCGCTCAAACCTGTGAGTTTGTTGTTGAGCACAAGGTCTCCCCTGAGCCTCCTTTTCTCCAGACTCAACAACCCCAGGTCCCTCAGCCACTCCTCACAAGACATGGGCTCTAGACCCTTCTTTCCCAGATTCATTGCCTTTGTCTGGCATGCTCCAGAACCTCAATATCCTTGTTGGAGTGAGGGGCCCAAAACTGAACCCAGGATTTGAGGTGCAGCCTCCCCAGTGCCTAGTCCAGGCAGGATGATCCCTGCCCTAGTCCTGCTGGCCCTAGTAGTGCTGATCCAAGCCAGGATGCTGGTGGCCTTCTTGGCTATCTGGACACTGCTGGCTCTTTTTCAGGTGGTTGTCAACCAGCATCTGCAGGTCCTTTTCTGCCAGGCAGAAGATAAGCTCAGATGTCAGTATCAGCTATTTAGCTGCTTACCAACATCAGGGCTTGAGATTAATCATGGTGCAGAGATCTGCACATCTTTCTCGAAGACAAGAGCTGTGATGCCAGACGGGACATCTTTGGAAGAGTCAAGAAGCAGAAGCTTTTCATGACATCTACTGTCACAGATTGAAGCGGTGGCATCGAGGCTCAGCTGGTCCCTGAAGTAATGTCCTAGAAGCAGGCTGTAAACTGGGATCTCCTATAATCCTGTGGAATAATGATCTGAAGGAGTAGTTTTTGATTACCTCCTTGGTAGTACCACAGAACTTCTGATAAGGGTTTAAGAGCTGGGGAGGTTTTTTCCTTGAGAAAACAGCCAGTCTCTATGTTTAGTCCTGCTGGCTTGTTTCCAGCTAACAAGGAGAGGTGCACTGACTAAAAGAAAACCTGATTTCTTCTCCCAGAACCATGTATCTTAGGTCACTTTTCAGATAGGGACCTTACTGTCAGTTGGGACTTTGGCCAAAGCAGACTTTGGCCAAAGCAACTGAGCTGGCTGTGGAAAACGAAGCTGAGTGGGACTAACAGCTTTGGGGCGGACCAAGATCACCAGTCAATGGAGGCATGTTTTGGAGAGGATCTCAGGACTATGCCTAAAGAAGCTGTTACTCCTAAGAGCTCTAGGAAAGAATGAGCTGCACTGAACTGGGACTAAAGGAACGTATGGCTGTCAGCAACGAGTTGTCCTGGAAGAATGACTCCTCTGAAGAGAGGATGTTCCCATCTACTTCACACGGCCTTGATGGTGGTGTGCTGGCAAAAATGGTCTCAGTAGATCACTCACTATTAAGAGTAGTCACAGGCATGTCCCCTGGAAGGATGTCACCAGACCTATGAACATACAGCCTTGATGGTGCCAAGAAATAATGTCAACAAAGCAAACTGGGTGGTCACACAACCCTTTTCTCTTATAGCATTGGACCTAACTGAAAAAGCAAACGTGTGATTTCCTGCACAACAAGCTGGAGAGTATCCTTCCTCTAAGCAATGGCAAAGGAGCAGAGACCACTTCTGGTGGTGGAGAAACATCACAGCTTGGAGACATCAAGGAGCAGTTCATGGCTATAGAGAGCAGATGCTGTTGAAGTCACTGCTGCCAGCTGTGCTATCTGAAGGTTAGACACAGAACCACAGAATGGTTTGGGTTGGACAGGAGCTTTCAAGGTCAACCCTCCGGCAGTGAGCAGGGACATCTGCAACTAGAGCAGGTTGCTCAGAGCCCTGTCCAGCCTCAACTGGAATGGTTCCAAGGATGTGGCTTCTACCACCCTTCTGGGCAACCTGGCCCAGTGTCCCACCACACTCAGTGTAAAACATTTCTTCCTTCTCCCTAGTCTGAATCTCCCTCTTTTAGTTTAAAGCTACAACCCCTTGCCCTGTCACAAAAGGTCCTGCTAAAAAGATTGTCCTCAGCTTTCTGGCAGGCCCCTTTAAGTACTGGAAGATTGTCAGAAGGTGTCCCTGAAGCCCTCTCTTCTCCAGGCTGAACAACCCCAGCTCGCTCAGCCTGTCTTCACAGGAGCCCTCTGATCATTCTTGAGACCTCCTCTGGACCTGTCAAAGCAGGTGTCACACGTATTGACGTGTCTTTCAATGCAGGGTCCGTATGTATCTTGGGTGAAAGCAGTATTGGAAATGTTCTTAATAAACTAAAAAGCCACTAAAAATAATTAAGACAAACACAGTGGGGCATTTTCAGGCTACGCTGAAATCCCACATAGGTAAACTATGGATGTAAAGCAGCAAACTTGAGTTTACTGTCTGACTTGAAATGTGGTGAGTATACTGAAGACAAATTTATAGCTGTTAAAAAGAAGCTTAAAAGAAAAAAAAAAAAAAAAACCAACCCACAGTTTTGATTTATAAAACATTTCTATGTTCTTTGGGCATCCCGTTTTAGGCAGATATTTGCAAAAGTCCTTTTTCCTCCCACTGACTGCCAGTAATTTCTGCAGCCCATAGTGCAAAAGAGGGGGGATGAAAAACACTTTCACTCTTTCATAGCCACCAAAAAAACTTTGGGATGACAGATTCAGCCCCCGAGCTGTGCCTGCCATTGCTGCAGAAGGTGCAGGACCACGGGTGGATGGAGCAACAGGGTGCAATTAAACACGATTGCTAATGTCATTCTCTTGTTGATCCCGCAGGAGAGGCACAGAGAGAAAGGGATTAAGCTGAAACAAGGAGGGGAGGCTGCAGAACAGAAGGGACCAAGGTAATTTCTATCAGCTAATCCTGTTTGGTTTCCCTTTGCGGCAGGCTTTGTGGGGAAAGAGCTCACAAAGACATCAAAGGAAGAGCTTTGCTCCAAAGGAAAATGAATCGAGCTGTCCCTCCGCGTCTGCTCCCGGTTAAACATAAACTAGGCGGTAACAGGGCTTTTCATGTAGGACACGGACGCAGGGGAAAAAAGGGTGGAAAGAACAAAAGACAAGACAGAAGGAAAGGTTAGTGCAAAAGAAAAGGGAGATGGCATACAAATCCCACTTGCCTCATCAAAAGAAATAAGAACAGTGAAAGAAAGAGGAGGCATCTGAGAGAAGGGGTGAAAGTGGCAGCCCTCCACCCAAAGATGAAAAGTAGATGGAAGAACAAATGGAGCAGGTGAAGAAGAGAGAAATGTGTAGTAGTGAGGGATCCCACCCTATCTCCTGCTGTAAAGTGCATTTCATGCAGTCATGCCCTCCCCAAACCATCTTCTCCTGGAAAAGGCTGCCCATAGATCGAGTATAGCTGGGAATATCTCTAATGTGACTTCTTCAAGCATCTTCAGAAGAAATAAAGCACATGCTGTCACCACTTAATTACAGTTAATGCTCACAGCATTCGTGTATGAGAAATTTATGGGAGAAAACAAGTAGGTAAACTTACACTTGGTATTATAGGAGGTGTCAGTGTCCCTTTTCGTAACCCTTCCCAGTTAAAGCCTTCAAACCATCTAGAAGGGAGGGAATAATTAAACAGTTAGAAATAACGTGCAAATCTCTCTGTAGCACAAAATGAAACGGACATTGCTTAAATGGTAGGTTTCAACTCCTGTAGTCATCTTCTTCAAATTGTCCAATTAGCCTGCATAATTTTACCTGTCATCTTTCTGTATGTTTTTTTGGGACTGAAAATGAAGGGTGTAGAGCAACCCAGTGGTGATATTATGGCACACACAAATTACCAAGGCTCAGAAGAAAACCATTCTTTGCTGCAGGTGTCCTGGCAGCTGCTCTTGTCTTTCTACAGGGTTGAACCCTTTCATATGAGACCCCTCATGCCCTTTCTTCATATGAGACTGAGAGCAAAGGGCAGGCATAGGGATGTCCTTCTCCTGGTTTGGGCACCTTGGGTTTACTCAAACTACATCAGCTTAAGTGGGTGGATGAGCCCTGAGCTGAGCCTTCAACTCATCCACCCCAAATGTCCATTCAATCAATTTCTTTTGCTTTGGGGATGGGAGAAGAGAAGGACCAGCATGGATGGATGAGGTAACCTGCTTCTGCGATGGGCCTCTACCTTGTCCTTATCCCCCTCCAGCAGTGTGGAAACCTAGTAGACATCACTTAACAACTCTCTACCACCAGATCTAGAGGGAAGATGAATTAACATCATGGGTAGAGAGATGACTGTTGGGCTTGGGGGAAATCAAGGAACACCTTGGAAAGTGATTCTGCAAAACAAAACAAAACAAAACAAAACAAAACAAAAATGCAAGCAAACTTTTGGATTGCTTCCAAATGCTCTTCTGCAAATTAGAGTAATTAGAGCAGAATGGTCAATGTGCAAAGCTCATAGGCAACGCTGGCATCAATACCAAAGCACTGTGAAAACAGTCTGATGGGAATTCAATTAGAGACTAAAGCACACTAGAAGAGAAAGGCCAAAAGAGTTTAATAACAGCATTTTTTTTCTGAAAATTGAAGTGTTTGAAGTATGTATTTCTGTGGGTTGGATCTGATGGATGGTGGAGAAGACACTTACTTGTGCTTTTGGATATCTTTCACTCCATTTTTCAAGTTCCCTAATCTTTCTGATGGATTGTCCCTACAAAATGAATAACAAATTGGTTACTTTCTTAATCCTTCTGAATGACTCATTTCTTTGAAAATAACATCAAAGTGATTATAGTTTATGTACTTACCTGCATAGTTTTTTAATTAAATTAGCAGCATTTTTGGCAATCTTCTTTGGAAATTCAATCATGTCTATTCCCCTTAATATGATGTTATAGGTCTTCATGGGGTCTGGGCCTGAGAAAGGGGGACTTAGGGGGAAGAGAAAAATCAAGAAGATGAAAATGTTGTCTTTGAAAAAGCACGGAAGATTGATTAAAAAAAAATAAATCCAGAACAAAACACAGTACCCTACTGAAATGAAAAAAGGTAGATGACAACTAGCAATGCTTTTTTTCCTCTGATCTCAACCATTTCTCACCCAAGGAGCTTGGATTCTGTCTGGATTTCAGTGATGCTGGCTGCAGGGAGGTACCAAAGAGTAGTTTTCCAGAGCAGCACATGCTAAACCTCTTCTTTCCATGATGGCCCATGTCCCAACATCCCGAGGAACAAGGGTCAAGCTACACTGGCTGGTTTATTCTGTTTAATGTTGTGACATGCTTTCAATGGGGATTCATTAGGACTCCATCAGTTTAACAGAATAGGGGCCTAGGTCCAGCCCCAAAGATTAAATAGATTGAGGTGATGGATGCTTTTCAAGCTCCTGTATCTTGGAAGTGAATGATGGGGGATGAGGTGAAGAAGTGGCAGGGAGGCACTACCGCCAACAACACAAGGAAGTAAAGAAGTGGCAGAAAGCCACTACTGCCAACATCAGCAGTAATATATTTCCCAAAGTAAAGGGATGGACATAGGGACTGAAGCCCCCATGCTGTCAGATCTACCTCCTCCTCCTCAGACGTGTGTGAGCTTACCACTGCACCTCCCCAGCTGAATTCCAAACCCTTTCCCTTTCCCCACCATATTAATGAAGTTTTGGTGTCACTTCACAGAATTTCCTAAAAAGCCTGCTCGTGTCTTACACTTTGAGAGATCTGCATGGAAGTGTTTTCTACTTAAAAGTGGAAAAATGGATTATTTTATTCAGCAGCACAGTGCTGTGCTGCTACAGCACATGGCAGCTCTGAACCTGCCCCTCGCCTAATCAGGGTGACAACGGCAGAAATATTTGGATCTATTCTCAGCAGCAGCGCCGGCCCTGATGCCCATACCTGCCAGTCAGGAGTTCATACATTAAGATTCCCAGTGACCAGTAGTCTGCCGAAATGTCGTGACCTTTGTTCAGGATGATCTCAGGGGCTACATACTCTGGGGTTCCACAAAAAGTCCATGTTTTCTTTCCAAATCCTATTTTCTTTGCAAAGCCAAAATCGACCTGCGGAAAGGAGCAGAGTACCATCAGGGCAGAGCACGAGAGGGAATGTCAGCCATGGGCTCCGCTCCTCTTGAAGTGAAGCAAAGCAGAAAAGAGGTTTCCTCGTGGGAATATTCTCCTGAATAAAGCATCATAGGTTGTTCCAGGAGCAGGCAACTGCAGTGACCTTTGCACCATTTTATCCTTCATTGTATAAAAGGAAAATTCGGGCGAGGGAAGAAGAAAAAATGCCAACACCCAGGGTTTCTTGGAAGACACAGCTTTGTATTGTTCACAGCTCAGGTTGATTTGTTTTGCTTTTGTTTTGTTTTAAACTCCCAGTCTTTACTTGAGCCAGGAACTATTTAGGCTAAACACCATTTTAGCATCTACTGAAAAGTTCAGATTTCTCTCCTAGTAGAGGGAGTCATGCAGTACAATGAGTGTCCTCCCAATTCTCTCAATTTACTTGAGGTGGTTTCAGCGTGCTGGTGGGCTCACAAACCTCTCAGCATGCCATTATAGCAGTGATGGAAAATCATGGAAAATCAGATTATACTCGGAACTGAGGTGTCCTTTGGGGCCCAGGCAGTGCTCAGGTTAATAGGTTTACTCTTCTTCTAGCTCTACACCCTCTGCCCTCCCCTGCCTCAGTGCTGTCTTGGCACACAGCTGTGGTCTGCAGCACACTCTGCTGTCCCTTGATGGCTGTGAAATGCTCCTACACCTTGAGCTGGCCAGGAGCAAAATGTCCTACATGGTCACAGTCCTACAAGGGACCTGGGACACTTCCCATGCTAGAAGTTTTGATCCACAAAAATCAAAATGTCTAAGGAGCTGGGGGTTTGGTCACGGGACACGCACAAACCCTGATTCATAGCCTCTTGGAGTGGGGAGAAGGACTCTACAATGAGTTTTGAGGCAAAAAAAGTAATGAGTGAACAAAGCAATACAGCCAAACCCATTAGAAACTCCCTAATTTGTGTGTGTGTGTGTGTGTGAATGTCTCGCATAAATTCCTGTGCTCTTTTGAGGAGGTGGATCTTGCAGGGGGACAGTACTGAGCAGGACCACGGTGTTCTGGGACGAGCATTTTCAGGCAGAGCCCTATGCAATTGTATCAGAGGAGATTGTACATATCAGCTGGGTGTGTTATCAGTGCTAAAACATAAGTGGCCCTTGTAAGGAAAGAAGCTGTGCCGGTCACAGTGCAGCAACACAGCCCAGAGCAATTAATAATAATAACATCTTGCCATGACAGTGGCATGATTAATATTTCCACTAAGAACACCTTTTTTTTGTTCCTTACACAAAGGACCTGACACAGAAATAGTAGCTTGCAAAACTTGCTTCACCAGCCACCTGTAAAGCCCACAGCTGCAAGTCAACCCCTTTCTCACCAAAAGTTTCAGACACCTATTTTCAAATTACACTTAGTCTTTCAGCAGCTCCAAACCAGCTGGATGGATTTCTCTTGCTGCTCTTCCCTAAACCTTTCCACTTCAGGACCATAGATCTGAATTTCAAGCCAGAATTAGTGTTTCCCAGCTCAGCTTTACCCTGAACCTCAGTATGCTGGAGACAGGGAAAACATCCTGGTGGTGGGTGATGACACCCTTGTCCTGATTGCACCTCAGCATCTACTAATGGCCATCATCAGAGACAGGATCCTGGGTTGGATGGACTTTACTTCTAACCATCTATGGCTAATTCTGTGTTTTCCTCTACCCCTAACAATAGTTGTCTGACTTACTTTGGCCAAACCAGACTGCTGCAGGCACTCACCAGTTTGGCATAACCTCGATGATCCAGAATGAGGTTCTCTGGCTTGAGGTCCCTATAAATGATCCCTTTGGAATGCAAATAGGCAAAAGCTTCGACCACACACGCTGTGTAAAACCTGGTTGTAGAATCCTCAAATGAACCTCTGCATAAAACAAGAGAGGGAAAGGGGATAAAGTCATTAGATCTCTTCTCTTATTGGACTTCACCTATTGTCAAAGTATCTCTACAGCTCAGTAGAATCACTCTAATACCTGGAAAGTGCTTGTTGCTAAACTCACTTTTATATATAAATTTAATTGCATTTCCATGTTATCATTTTTGCTTTCAATCCACCTTCATATCAAACATTCAAATTGAAAATATTTTTATTTAATATAAAAATATTCTGTTTTATTTTATAATTGCACCTCATAGAAATAAAATTTACAGGTTCCTTCTAAATACAGTATGATTTTTAAACTATAATCTTTGTCTTTTGGGCGCTAAAGCTATTTGGGTCTGTGGAGACTAAAACCACCCTTGTTCTATTGTTCACAGCCAAGAAAAAAGGCAAAAAAATTACAGTTGCTGGGACTTGAAGTGTTAAATTGTAATTGTAAATTCAGCATAAACTACACTTTTGGATCCTTGTTTCAGCACCAGTTTGCAACCAGTATTCCAAAGCAAACCATAGTCCCTGCCTGCTGGGAGGTGGTAGGAGCTGGCTGAGCTCAGGAGCACGCCTAAGCTATAGGTGGCAGCAGAACCACAACATAAAGCCGAGAGAATTCAAGATGAAATTATCAGGCTCTGACAAGAATGATGAAAACTACCACCCGGCACCTGCTAACTTTGCTGTGCTTCTTTTTTTAATGGTCCAGAGAAGGTATGCTGTTAGGAGAAGGAAGAAAAGAAGTTCAGGGGTCTAGAGACCAAGTCTTGTGAGGATTGGCTGAGGGACCTGAGGCTGTTGAGCCTGGAGAAAAAGAGGCTCAGGGGAGACTTTCTGGCTCTCAGCAACTTGCTGGAAGGAGGCTGGAGCCAGGTGGGGGAAGGTCTCTCCTCATGTTGTGCTAAGGGAGGTTTAGGCTGGATAGTAGGAAAAACTTCTTCTCTGATACTATTGTTAAGCAGTGGACCAGGCTGCCCAGGGCAGTGGTTGAATCCTCATCCCTGGATGTGTTTAAAAGTTGTGGAGATGTGGTGCTGAGGGACATGGTTTAGTGGGGGGTTTGGCACTGCTGGGTTAACAGTTGGACTGGATGATCTTGATCTCTTCCAACCAAAACGATTCTATGATTCCATGACTTACAAAAAATCTATTCTAGGTAATTAAAAAATAATTTAATCTTTGTTTTCTGATCCATCTTCCCAATGTGTTTTTTTTTGTCTTTCCAAATTTAATTAAAAGATGTTGCCATTATGAGCCTGTTACATATTTACACGCAATTCACCAGATCTTCTCTTGCCCTGGGGGCATAACACACACGTCCCACATACACCCACCCAACCCACCTGCCACCTACTCACCCACAACCAAACCCCGATGCTGCGGGGTCAATCCCTCCCGAGGCAGGAAATACCAGGAGCACATTTGCTGGTGCATTATGGCATGGTATGTAATTACACTCTTTTCCAGCTCATTTTTCCCATAGCACTTCCGTGTCCCCAGAGCGTAGTGCTCCTTGCAGGGTGTGGATTTGGTGCACAGCCCCGTGTCCCACTTTGGTGAGTGGCCCTCGTGTAAAATGTGATATCTGGACTAAAAGCTGATGCAGAACTATTGATTTCCTCCTGCTCATCGCTAGCATACCTGACTGTGTCATAAATAGTAAAGAAGTATTAATAGACATTGTTGGTCACATTTCCCCTGTGACAGAGGTGGATGTTGTCGATTAAGTTACAAAGGGTGGGCAATAGAGCAACAACTGAGATGAAAACAGCAGGTCTTTCTCTGGGATGGGAAATGGTGATTTTTCAGATGATGTTGAAGAAGTCTGCATTTTTTACCTTGAAAATGCACTTCTCCACAGATTTCATTCACAGCTGTGAACTCTCACTAACACCACTGCTGCCTGAGGGCCTTGGTTTCCTAGTCCAGAGTCTAAAAAGACCATGGTAGCAATTCCTAAAGGTGCTGCACTGGAAGGACCCTACCTCTGGAGGACATCTTGCAGGAAGGTAGGGAGACTGGCCCTGACATTGCACTTCCTGCAATGCCTGGATGCCCTGAAGGGTAATTTTCTGCCATCATACCTGGTCCTCAAAGTCTTTGTCACCCTTAGGACAATATGTCAGACCCAGGAAGCACAAAACAAGTGGAAATCACAAAGCTCAACACTGCTAATCCCGTGTTTCTCTATCAGGTGTCTGAGCCTTCAGATAGGTCCCCAAACACAAGAAACAGGACTGTGGGCACCAAGGACACAGTCATAAGTTCTGTGGTTGCAAGACGTTCTTGTTCTAGGTAGTTAAAAATTAAATTAGGTTAGATACTAGGAAGAAAGTGTTCACCATGAGGGTGGTGAGACACTGGAACAGGTTGCCCAGAAAGACTGTGGATTCCCCATCCTTTCAAGTGTTCAAGGCCACATTGGATCAGGCTCTGAGCAACCTGGTCTAGTAGGAGGTGCCCTTGCCTATGGCAGGGAGGTTGGAACTAGACAATCTCGAAGGTCTTTTCCAGCCCAAACCTCCGTGTCTAAATTAATTAATTAGATGAAAATTAGAATATGCTGCCAGTTATTTAGGAATACCCTTTAGAGATGAAGACATGGGGGAAAGGCAGTCAAAGACCTGTTGTAGATGCAATTCATCACATGACTACTATCATTACCTCCTATATTTTTTTCAGAGGGGCCATGATAAAGCAGCTCCGGGTCAGCCTCCACTTACACAAAGCCTTGTACATGCTGGACACAACCTAAATCCATCCCCATTGTCAGTTATAACTGGATTCACTTTGTCTCTAGTCAAATGCATAGAAATCAAAATAGCTCCTCACCTTTCTGACATCTTAAATCATACACAGCATGGTAAGATCCAAATTTTGCCCATGAAAGATAAAGACCTTTGGTTATCCAGAGGCACATAAGAAAATATTCCACTTTGTAGGACAATGTTTTCTTATAACTCACCTGTCCCTGAGAATTGTCCAGAGCTCTCCACCTAGGCAGGCTTCCATCAGCATGTACAGGTACTTGCTGTCCTTGAACGTCCTGTAGAGCCTGTTGTTGCCAAATGAAAAAAGTCATAAATAAATCAACAATACAAACGGAGGCACCAGTTGTTCCTGCTTCTCACAGCCTGTGGGCTTCATCCCAGGAAGCACCACAAGACTAAGGGGAATCTTTCAGAGCCAGTGCTACACTGAAGGAGATAATTTCAAGGTCTTTTCTTGGGTGGGAAATATTTAAACAGAAAAGGATGGGCATCTGAGAGGTGAATTCTGTTGTGGACCTCAGAAGAGGAGGTCACCACTATTCTGGGTGCTATATAAATATCTGCCATTTCTAACTGCAAAACCTGACACTTGGCTTTCCAGATGTGCTTGAAAGAAGTTTTCCTACTATTTTTATAACATCCATATCATCTCTAATCTTCACGCTACAGAGTCTGGCTGCAGATTGGCAGCCTTCCTTCCATTTAATCATTTCAAAGTGGTGCTGCCCTATTTGTAATTCATTTCAGAGTCTAAACCCACTGATTTAGCTTGACGAGAACCCACTGACACATAGGTATAAAAGTGCTTTTCCTCTTCCTCCCAGGGATTGAATGTGGAGGAAAAATTGCCTGAAGGGAAGATGGGTCAGGATCTGTGAACCTGTCCTACTCAAGTGCCATCTAAATTGAGAGGTAAAATCCATGCTCTGTGTTTAATCTGATATATTAAACACATGGAACTGCAAAATCATGGAAATGAAAACAGGGAATTCAGTAGGAACTGTTATACTTAATTTTAATGGTGAGCTGCTCTTGTACTTGTTGCACAGAACGGTTTGGATTGTAAGTAACCTTTAAAGGTCATCTAGTTCAACCACACCCGCAGTGAGTAGGGGCAGCTTCAACTAGAGCACGTTGCTCTAGAGCCCCATCCAACCTCATCTGGAATGTTTCCAGGGATGGGGCATCAACCACCTCTCTGGGTAACCTGGGCCAGTGTCTCACCACCCTCACTGTAAAGAATTTCTTCTTCATGGGGGTTTATTGGTTCAGGTTGCCTGCAGGTAGGAGGATGCTGTATGTGGGTATTGGACATGCTTATTTGCAGCTGCACTGTTCAGAAATTAATGTTAAAAATCCAAGCTTCACAGCAGAAGGGGATGCTGAGGGATATTCTGTTATGGTGCAATTGCTGCATTCACGGGAGTTTCCAAGAGTTAAAAATTAAAGGGCTGATGCAACATGCTATAAATTAAAGCAGGTGGTTTGGCAGATTCTAGCTCTTCCCAGCTAGTGATAAATCCAGTTATTAGCATCTTTTATGGAGCTGTGTGGCGGACCGGGGGGAAAACACAGCAGGATTTGGTTCCTTTCGAAGGCATCCAGTTAAATATTAACTTAAGGTACGTGGCAAAACGCGCCAGCAGCTGCAGCCTGGCTCCGATACGCCTTCGCATCACGATGCTAGACAACATTTGTCTCCTGCCTGTGTTTGCCTAGCATCCAGCACGCAGCCTAGCAGCAGTTACTTGCTCTATTTTGGCGTGTTTAACAGAAAAAACATGCCAGCAGGCACAGCTGTGATGTAGGCAGGAGTCTGGGTACTGAACAGGCTCTGCGCTTATCTACCTGGGAAATATTCTGTAGCTAAAAGGGACTATTTGCAGCCGCAACAAAATTAGGAAATTTAAAGGGAAAAAAACCCCAACCAACCAGTATTTCATATCTCTCCTTACTCTAGTATTACCTATGTTGATGTTTAAAATCTCAGTTATGATGTGTTTCTCAGAAAAAGCTGAAACAAACTCACTATTTCATATGGTTAAAATTTATGGGTTTAACAAAAAAATAAATCTGTATTTCTTGCCAGTTGGACAAACTATAATTTACCTTAATAAATATTTATTCTACATTAAGTTTTACAGAAACCCTACATATTCAAGAATCCAAAATATGAGTAACTAAGTATTTTTAATTGCTCAGTTTAATTGAAATTTAATATAATAATATAGAATTAATTTAAATACTACTGACATAAGGCATTGCTTTCTCTAGCTGAAGTAACTTTGCTAAAAAAATGCTTTCCAGAAAAATTTTATGGGCATTGAATTTGACCTAAACTGTGCAAAAAAACCCCCAAAAAATATTGTTTATCAATTGTAATGGAAGCATAAAGATTATACATGATGAAACTGCACTATGACAGTAGATCAAGCAGTCTTAAGGTTGAAATATTACACTATTTGAATGAAATTTTTATGTCTTTTCTTATTCATCTCCAGTACAGGCATCTACTTCTTTGGCTCTTTATCACACCTAGAGAAACTGGTACTGTGACGTTCTTAATTTATCTATGAGTAAATTTTCTTTAGTGGTACTTTGCCTCTTGCTTCTTTTGCCAGGTTTAATGCATTTTAATAACCAAACTGAACTGTTTATCAAAACTCTTTAACAGTTTCATGATGAATTAAGAAAACAAATTCTTTGGCAATTTTGTTTTCCTTTTCTGTTTAGTTTCAACTACCCCGATTATATGTTGGAAAAGCTGCGCGGTGAGCTGTAGGCAACCCAGGAGACTCCCTGGAGTGCCTTGATGACAACTTCCTGGGGCAGGAAAGAGACACCCCTACTCGAGGAGATGCAACACTAGACCTGATGGTCACAAATGCTAGTGAGCTCATCAGGGACATGAAGACAGGAGGCAGCCTGGGCTGCAGCGACCCTGCATTAGTGCAGGTCACAGTCCTATGGGGTACAAGGGAGACAGAGAGCAAAGTCAAACCCCTAAATTTTAAGAAAGCAAGAACTCCAGCTTTTCAAGGAGTTAATCACTAAGACTCACTGGCGAACTGTCCTTAGGGACAAGGGAGCAGA